CGCCGAGGGAGGCACGCTCGCCCGCAGCGCCCCCGCCGCCGACCCACACCGCAGCGGTTGCCAGACGAGGCGGTGGCCGCGGGGCAGAGAGGCGAGGGGGCGGAGGGGGCGGAGGGCGAGGAGGGCGAGGGCGAGGCGGGCGAGCTGTACTCGCTGCTGGGGCTGCCTCGCTCCGCGTCGGCGGGCGCCATCCGCGCGGCGTACCGGCAGCGCGCGCTCCGGCTGCACCCCGATCGCTTCCCCGACGCGACGGCCGAGGAGCGCGCGGCGGCGACGCGCCGCTTCCAGGCGCTCGCGGGGGCGTACGAAGTGCTCGCCGACCCTGCGGCGCGCGCCGAGTACGACGCGGCTCGGGCGGGTGGCGCGGCGTGGCTGCGGCCGCCGCCGTCGTGGGACGCGGCGGTGAGCACCTTTGCGCAGGCGATGGACGTGGCGGGCGTCGCGCTCGGCAGCTGGCGGCAGGCGGCGGGCGGCGACTTGGCCGCGCACGTCGTCAGCCGCGCCCTCATCGCGACGGCGGCGGAGGCGGGCGCCGAGGCGGTGGCGAGCGCCGTCGTGCGCACCGAGCTGCAGGCGAGCCTGCTCGCGGGCGAACGGCTCACCGCCGCCGTTGCACTCAACGGCGTCGGCGCCCGCCTCATCCCCGTCATTGGCGCCGTCGTCTCCGGCACCATCGACGCCGTGAGCACCGCGCGCACCGGCGCGGCGGCGCGCCGCACCTTTGGCCCGCCGACGGCCGAGCCCGCCGCGAGCACCCCCCCCTGGGCCGAAGGCGTGTCCGCGTCGGCTGCTGGGGCTGCCGAGGCCGCCGTCGACCGGCTGACCTCCGCTGGCGCGGCAGCCGCCGACGCCGCCGACGCTGCAGAGGCAGCGCTCACGGACGCGGCGGCGAGCTTGTGGTCGTCGGTGTCTTCGCGGCTCTCCATGGTGGGCTGATGAGCGCGTGTTTTTCATACGTTATACGTTAAAACAGTTTGTGCTGTTTATTCCACAAAGTAGCGAAATCTTTTTGCCACTCTCTGCACTCTCAAATCAAAATGTGGTGTGGCGTGTGGGGATACGTAAGGTAAGGTACGGTAAATTTCTCCACACACACAAAGTGGTGGGGCAAGGGGGGGCGACCCTCGCATCTCCACACCCGGACACAGGCAGGAGCCCCACGGCATTCAAAGTGCAAGCACCGGCCCGGTGCACGTGGGTGAGCAGCCTGCCCCTCCCTCCCGACAAACCAACTCCCGCACACACACAATCGCACTCTGGCCATCGAATGACTCCGAATGACTCACTGGTGCGCTAAGACAGAATCTCTGCAGACAGCCAAAACGGGCCGTGCCGCGTTGTTGCTGCCTTCTCAAGCACTAGCATCCGGACGCCGCACTCGAGTGGGCGGGTCACATCTATGTGGGCCCAGTGTGCGCACTAGGCGCATATGCTAGTGCTATCCTGCCCTATGGGAGGCAGAGGGAGGGGGGGAGGGGGGGGGCAGAGGTAAGGTGGGGGGAGACTGGGGAGGAACTCAAAGGTCCTCCATGGGGGTGGGGTGTCATCGAACAGGTCGAAGTCGACTCCGGTCCCGCCATCGCCGCCGACGCCGTCGCCCTCGTCCGCCTCGGAGGCGGGGGTCGTCGGGCGGGGCGCCTCGCCCGTCACGAACCTGCCGCCGAACACGGCGTCGGCCGGCGCCGAGGCGCCGGCAGCCGTGATCAGGTCGGCGACCTTTCGGTCCCTGCCTGCAGGCCGCATCAATTTTGCCGCGCCGGGACGGCTCGTAGAGCTCGTTGGCGAGCCAGTCCCGGGCGACCTTCGTCGCCACGGAGCCCAGAGGGACCGTGGCGTACACCAGGTCGCCGAACCCGCTGCCCCCCTCGGGAGGCAGCAAGTAGGCGACCTGAATGTTGGACCCTGTGTGGGGTTGCGCGCCGCCTGCGTCGCAGCCTCCAGGCCCTCCATCACGAACTCGACGTTCTCGCGCAGCTGCAGGCCGTAGTCCGTCCATCACGTACTCGATGTTCTCGCGCAGCTGCGCGCGCGGGGGCTCCGCGCGCTCGGCCTCGCTCGCGGCCGCGCGCTCGCCGGCCTCCGCCGCCCGGCGCGCCTTCTGCCGGGCCTTCTTGGCCTTGCGTGACGCGGCCTTTGCCCCTCTTCTCCCTCCTTCTTCTTCGGCGCGGTGCGCTCGATGTACGAGCGCTCCGCCGCCTGCACCGACGCGCGGTCGCCCGCGGCCTTCTCGTGCTTCAGGTCGACCTCGATGGTCCCGTAGCCAGGCTTTATCACCCTGACACAAGACGCACCGAACAACCTTGCGACACTCACTGCGTCCTCCAGTTGCGCGCGATCGGAGCGATTCCAGGATCCGCGCTGCGCCTCCCCGGCAGCACGACGGTGGCCGGCGCTTGCGCGCCAGCCCCGTCCGCGCCGCCGGTTCCGCGGCCGCGGTCCCTGTCATAGCTACGCGCGCCATGGATTCCACGGCGTGGGGATACGACTTCGTGGCGGACAAGCTGTGTGCATGGCTGTGTGGCCCTGCCAGAGGGCCTCTTTCCATCAGGGACCACGGCAACCACCACAATGCGCTCCCTTGAGTGTCCTGCGCTCACCCCGCGCACGGGCGACTCCTGCTCCGGCAACGACAACGTGACAACAATGCTAAAATCTCTCTCCAGCGTGACCTGTTCATACGACTTTGATCGCACAGGATGGCGCGATGGGGTAAAATGAACGCCGCTCTTTGAAGTAACTGGAGCGGCGTATCACTAAACGCGACGCTGCTCTGACTACTCGGAGCAGTGACTACCCACCCACACGCTGCTCAACCCCACTACCCCAGGGGCGGGGCTCGCCACGCCGCGCCGCGCGCCACGAGCGATCGTGGATCGCCGTCCCGGCGTCAGGGCATCGCCGTCCCGGCGTCCCAGAGCAGCGTCTATTCAGGGCGACGCACTATCGGCGATGGGGAGGACCGAACGGGCTTTTGCTCTGTATTGTGTCAAAGGTTGAGAATCGTGACGGCTTCCCTCACCGAGAGACAGAAAGCCGATTCAGGCATATGCTGCCGCTCGCTTCTCTGCCCCTGCTCACAGCCCTCTCGCCCACTGTCGCCCTGTCCCGCTCGCAGGCCGTTGTCATGATGCTCCTCTCGGCCACGCTCGTTTCCGGCTTCGCCCCGACCCCCGTCCCGTGCGAGCCCGTGTGCGACTGGCTGGTCGACGCACGACTACAAGCTCGTGGCAAGGATATGGCGATGAAGAAGAGTGGCCAAATGTGTGGGGGTTGCGTCGGCCCGGTCGGGGGGTTGACCGACATCACAACACGATGACGGATAGTGACCTAATGTCTCACACCCATTTGATTGGTCGTGTGGGTCGCGTCGGCCGTCTCGCGGGGCCCCGCGGTCGGCAGCGCGATGAGTTCATCCGTTCTCAGGTAGTCGTCCAACGCTTCGTGCTGGCTGCTGCTACCTTTACCGCTCCGCATCCGCTTCTTTCTACCTCCCTGTCTGTGACACGTAACCTTAAGAACGCGTCGTGTGTGGCTGTCTTCTAACAACTTCTGTGTCCGGCGTCTACACTGTCGCCGCGGCCTCATGTCAGCCAGCGTGTCAGCCACCCGACCGCGAGCAGTAGCACGATGGGCGACAAGCACCACCCCCTCAGCCGGGAGAGCACGAGCGGCATGGATCGCCGCCGCTGCTCCACCGCCCGCCGGCACCGCTCAAGCTTAGCTCGCTGTGCGTCGACAATCGCCTGTATATAACGACAGCAAGCAACGGATGAAGGGCGAAAGCGGACGAGCGTTGGCAAAAGGGCAAGTCCGCCTGCAGCTCCTCCGCATCCCGCGCCTGCCCCCGTTCGCGGAGCATCTGCACAGCCTCCTCCGCCCGCCGCACCTCGTCTTCGCACGCTTTGAACCTCGCCTCCTCCCTCTCCGCCGTCCTGCATCGCGCCGCTGCCTATCCACACAGCGGCATCGGCTGAGTCGGCGGTCTCGGACAGGGGACTGGCCGACAGGGCGCGTGTTGCGCCGGCTCGTCATTGTCGTCCTTGCCGCCGCCACCGTCGCCGCCACAGCTGCTGGAGGAGGCGAGCCGCCCGCGCGAAAACATGCCTCCGAACGCCAGCTCCTCCGCCTCGCGCCTCGCAGCCCGCTCTCCCAGCAGACGCGCCTTTGGTGCAAACAGCGAGACGGCTCGGCTCATGTCACCAGCTCTAGGGCCCCATCCGCTCTGCCGCGACGCACCAGCAGAGCTCGCACCGCGCGGTCCTCCGGCGCCTTGCGAGTCGCCTCTCGCAGGTCACGGATCGCCTCGTCGGCCGCCGCCTCGCCCGCGCTCGCCCCCACCCGCGCCCTCGCCCGGCGGTAGAGCATCTTTGCGCACCCGGGCTGCAACTCTAGCGCCGCGTCGCACGCCGATATGCAATGTCGGCAACAGCTGCTGGCATCGCCCCCAGTGTCACCGCTGCGCGCAGCGGCCGCCATGCCGAGGTAGCAGAGCGAGAGATTCTTGTAGCTGTCGAGGAGGAGGGAGTCGGCCCTCTCGCGTAGCGGCGAGCCTGCAGAGGAGGCGCAAGAGGGGAAGCGGTGTGCGGTGGAGAGGATTATCGCTGAGACGAGAGAAGCGGTGTGGACCGAGGGATGAGGGCGCGGCTCACCGCCAGCCGGCCTCTCGTCCACCTCCTCGATCGCATCGTCGCGGAGGCCGTGCCGCCGCCAGGCGGGGTCGGTGCAGCGGAGGTAGCAAAAGGCCCCGAGCGCGAGCGCGTACCGTTCGACCGCTGCCGAGTGGTCGCCCACCCTCAGGAGTGCTGTCCCCTCCTCCTTGAGTTTGGCGGCGCGAGCGAGCCGCTCCTCCAGCGGCAGCGCGCGGAGGCCTTCCGCCTCATCCCCCGTCCAGAGCGTGCGCTGGTAGTAGTCGGGCGACGCATCGAAGCGGCAACGCTGCCGCGCGAGCGCCGCGCTCTTGATCTGCACGGCCTGCTCGAGGGCGGCCCGCATCGTCCGCAGATCGTCCGTCCTGTAACGCCCCGGCCCTGAAGTCTCTTCGAGACCTCGCTGCAGATTTCACGCAAAAGCACAGATTTTGGACCCGCAATCCCTTGATCAACCCATGACTCGGGTCCGTGATCCGTGGATGAAAAAGAAAGAAGGTAAGCGTGACATCGCAATCACGCTACCGTTTTTGCGTTCAAGTTTGTGCGCGCCGCGTTTTGAGTGCACGCCGACCCTTGGGAAGGTGCGCGCACGCCCTTTCCGCCCGCAATCTGTGTGAGCCGACCCAGCGCCGCTGCCGGCCTGTCAGATCCAGAGCCCAGGACCAGCGAGCTGACGCGGCCTCCCAACCACACCTCGTCCACCTCTGGTCTCCGGCTCACATCTCTCTCTTCTCTTCCCGCCGACGCAAGCCACCGGACTCTGGCCTCTTGAGTGGTGAAAGCCGCTCTTGCCAGAGTCGCCGCTCCCTCCAAGCATGCACGCGACTGCCGCACCCCCACACCACCACGCACTCGCTGTGATGTGCCCTCATCGGTGGTCTCGCGCCTGCGCCGCCGGCCTCCGCTATCTGTATTAATTTACTCTGTGCTGCTGGGCCAGATCTTGGGCCGCCTGCCCAGCAGAAGCCTAGCCCGCCCTGCCGCTTCAATCCCGCCTGTGCGACAACAGAGCACGTCGCTCATCCGCGCCACTGCCCGCCTTGCCCAGTTGCAGTCGAGATGAGGAGCTTGATCGTGCTTTTGGTTGGGCTGCTGGCGGCGGCGAGCGGCGCGACCTTTGACGAGTGCAAGGCCGACTGCCTCGTCTCTCATCCTGACAAAGTAAAAGCGTGCGAGTGCCGGTGCGGCGGCGGGGAACCGTGCGCTGCAGACTGGAGGAGGTTGCGCGTGGACCAGAGCGATCCCTCTCACCCCGCCCACGTCACGTGCAGGTGCGGCTTCTAGATCCGCCGCTGTGTGCGATGCAGGCAGCCGCCGCCACGTCGTCCGTCCGTTTCGGCGTCTGGGACGTGGCCCTTGGCTCGGCACGTGGCGCTTATGCTCGGCAGTTCTCGCTCGTGGGTGCAGCTCCAGCTGCAGGCTGGGCCAGCCGGTTTGCTAGATACGCATACGGCTTTGGGGGGGGGGGGGGCGGGGGGGCCCGGCCGTGCCGGGGCCCTTGCGCGGGCGGAGAAGAGTGTGTGGAGAAGAGAGCAAGGTAATCCTGCGACCGCGGAAGTTCGGCAGGTTTAAAACAAACGCGAACCAAGACCCACGATATATACGCTCTATCGGGGGACCCTTCGGGGCGCCGCCCCCCTCTTGTAATAAAGCGTGTACGTTACTGCGCCCGCCCCTCGATCTTCTTGGGTAGCAGCTGGCTCTGCTCGTCGCCGTGGCCCAAAAAGCCAAAGCCTCCCAATCCCCAGCTCGAGACGGCGCCGTCGGCGGTGATGGCGATGCTGTGGGACTGCCCTGCTGACACAGCGACGACGCGCTGGCCAGCAAAGGCCTCGACCTTCTTCGGCAGCAGCTGGCGCTGCTGGTCGCCGTGGCCCAACTTGCCGTAGTCTCCATCGCCCCAGCTCCAGACAGCGCCGTCGGCGGTGAGGGCGAGGCTGTAGTAGCCTCCCACCGACACAGCGACGACACGCTGGCCAGCAAAGGCCTCGACCTTCTTGGGCAGCAGCTGGTTCTGCTCGTCGCCGTGGCCCAGCTTGCCATAGCTTCCACTGCCCCAGCTCCAGACGCTGCCGTCGGCGGTGATGGCGAGGCTGTGCGCGAATCCCGCCGACATAGCGACGACGCGCTGGCCAGCAAAGGCCTCGACCTTCTTCGGCAGCTGCTGCCTCTGCTCGTCGCCGTGGCCCAGCCGGCCGTCGCGTCCCAAGCCCCAGCTCCAGAGGGCGCCGTCGGCGGTGAGGGCGAGGCTGTGGACGTATCCAGCCGACACGGCGACGACGCGCTGGCCAGCCAAGGCCTCGATCTTCTTCGGCAGCAGCTGGTCCTGCCCGTCGCCGTGGCCCAGCTTGCCGTAGGCTCCACCGCCCCAGCTCCAGAGAGAGCCGTCGGCGGCGAGGGCGAGGTTGTGCACGGCTGCAGCCGACACAGCGACGACGCGCTGGTCAGCCAAGGCCTCGATCTTCTTCGGCTGCCACTGGTGCTGCTGGTCGCCGTGGCCCAGCTGGCCATAGGCTCCAGGGCCCCAGCTCCAGACAGCGCCGCCGGCGGTGAGGGCGAGGCTGTGGTTCTCTCCCGCCGACACACTCACGGCGCGCTCGACACCCAGCGGAGAGGGGAGGCGGGTCGGCGTGTTGAGCCGCACCACGCCCTCGCCGTGGCCAAGGAGCGATGGGCTGTAGAACGGCGCATAGCCGCACGACGAGAGCCGCCCCTCGCCGTCGATGAAAACGCTGTGGGTGGAGCCTGCCGCAACCCTCGCCGGCGGGTTGGACTCGCGCAGCAGCGCCGAATAGCACAGCCACCGCACGGCGCAGTCCTCGCCCTCCGGCTGCGCCGGCAGCTCGAAGCCGCGCTCTTGCGCCCACAAGCGGATGCCTTCCAGCGCAAGCGAGGCGTGGAAGAGCAGCGAGACGGCCGCGACGCGAGCGATGTCGGCGGGGCTGTGGCAGCGAGAGAGGGCGCGCAAGAGGAGCTCCGTGGGGAGGTCGAGGAGGCGGGCGGGCGGCGGCGTGCTCGGCGAGGGCGCAGCGGAGGCGGAGGCGGGGGCGAGGCGGCGCGAGCGGCGGCGCGGCGGGGTGGACATCGCGAGGAAAAGAATTTGACCGGCCTCTGCAACGGGTACGCAACGCAAATTCTTTTTTCAGGTTAAGCCGCTTGAGCGACCAGCGCGACACAGCGATCGACCACAATGGCGACTCGACCCCTCCCCGCCGACCCCGACGCCCTCGACGCCGCGAACGAGCGCTGGTTCCACGGTGCGCCTCTCCGTCCCCTCCAGCGCCAGGCGATCGAGTGCTCGCTGAGCGGCCGCGACGTCCTCCTCCTCATGCCGACCGGCGGGGGCAAGAGCCGCACGTTCCAGCTCGCCTCGCTCGCCACCCCGGGGATCACTGTGGTGGTGGTGCCGCTGCTCGCGCTGATGCGCGACCAGCGCGACGCGCTCGACTCGCTCCGCGTCCGCGCCCTCCACCTCTGCTCCTCGCAGCCCGCCGCGGAGCAGACGGCGGTCTTGCAGGAGCTGCGGGCGTGGCCGCTGCCGCCGCCAGAGAGCACGCAGGGCGCGGAGGAGGCGGCGGCGGCGGCCGCTGTGGCTGCGGCGGGGCGGCGGGGCGGCGCGCCCTCTCCCTCGGAGGGCGCGAAGCTCCTCTTTGTCACTCCCGAGCGGCTGCTGCAGTCGCTGTCGCTCGGCGGCGTGCTGCGCTCGCTCGCGTCTCGCGGGCTGCTGCAGCGGGTGGTGGTGGACGAGGCGCACTGCGTGGTGTCGTGGGGGTCCGACTTCCGACCCGAATACGCCCGCCTCGGCTCTCTCCGCGCCGATCTGCCCGGCGTCCCGTGGCTACTCCTGACCGCGACACTGGAACCTTCTAGGAACCTTCTAGGAACCTTCTCCTAGGCGTCCCGTGGCTACTCCTGACCGCGACGCTGCCGCCCGCGCGCCGGCCTCTCCTGCTAGAGAGCCTAGGGCTCGACGCGTCGGGGGTGCGCGTGCTGGAGGGGAGCATGGACCGGCCCCACCTCCGCTACGCCGTCTGGCGCAGCTAGACTTCCCTCGCCTCCCCCCCCTTGGACCGGATCGTGAAGGGGCTGAGTGGTGATGACTTCCTTCCGAAGGCGCAAGACCTCGCTCGCCTCCTCCCTCGACCGGATCGCCGCCGCACTCGGGGCAGGCGGCGGAGGCGGCGGCGGAAGCAGCGGCGGCGGCAGCGGAAGCAGCGGCGGCGGCGGCGGCGGCGGCGGCGGCGGCGGCGGCGGCGGCGGTTGCCGCTGCGCGATCGTGTACTGTCACTCTCGCGCTGAGGCGGAGCGCGTGTGCGACGGGCTGGTGGAGCGGCGGGTGGCGGCCGCGTTTTACCACGCGCAGGTGGAGGGCGAGGTCAAGGAGGCGCTGCACCGCGACTGGCTGCAGGGTAGGGTGGAGGTCATCGTCGCCACGTGCGCCTTTGGGATGGGCGTGCACCACGGAGGCGTGCAGCACCACCCTCCCCCCTTCTAGGAACCTTCTAGGAAGCTTCTAGGCGTGCACCACGGGGGCGTGCGGCAGATCTTCCACTACACGATCCCCTCCTCGCTGACGGCGCTGGCGCAGGAGTGGGGGCGGGCCGGCCGGGATGGGGAGGACGCGGAGTGCGTCCTCCTCTACTCGTACTCGGACAAGCAGCGGGTCAAGTCGTACGACGCGGGCCGACGGGACACGACCACGACACGTCCCTGACGCGCGCGGCGCGGTGCCGTCTCCGTTAGGTCGAGTCGATGATACGGCGGGGCGCGCCGCCCGCGACGCTCGAGGAGCTCTCCACAGAGCAGATGCTGTTAATTAATCAATCAACTACTCAACTATGTAGTAATTAATAGGAGCGGCTCGGCGAGCTGATGGAGGTTGCCGCGATGTGGACGACGATCTCCCCAGATCTCCCCAGATCTCCCCATACCTCCCCAAGGTGGTCGCGATGTGCGAGGACGACGTTGGCTGCCGCCGCGCCCGGCTGCTGCGCCACCTCGGCCAGGCGCCGCCCGGCTATGAGAGGAGGGTGGGGGTGGTGAGACTACTCTCGGCTACTCTCGGCCACTCTCGGCCTCTCTCGGCTACTCTCTCGGGGTCTCAGTCTGAGCGGCTGCTCCCTAACGCCTCGGGAAGGAGCCACCCGCCCCTCCTCCGCCACCCGGCCGCTGCTGCGACAACTGCGCCGCCGACGCGCCGCCGAGGAGCGCGGAGCTCGGCGTGGCGGCGCGCGCCGCTCTCTGCGTGGCCGGCCGGCTGAATGGCGCGCTGACGCTACCGAGGCTCGAGGCGCGGCTGCACTGTCTCCCCGCATCTCCCCGCATCTCCCCGCATCTCCCCACATCTCCCCACATCTCCCCACATCTCCCCACATCTCCCCACATCTCCCCACGTCTCCCCACGTCTCCCCACGTCTCCCCCCCCCCCCCCCCCCCATCCTCCCCACATCTCCCCACATCTCCCCACATCTCCCCACATCTCCCCACATCTCCCCCACATCTCCCCACATCTCCCCACATCTCCCCACATCTCCCCAGCTGAGGCTCGAGGTGTCACTCACTTCACACCAGCAGCGACTCATGACTCGAGCCGCAGGCGCTGCTCTACGGCTCGCGCGCCAAGGAGGTGGTCACGTCGGGGCTGGTCGACCACACCTCGCCGAGCAATCTCCCGCAACCTCCCGCAACCTCCCGCAACCTCCCGCAACCTCCGCTAGGTCCACCTCGCCGAGCACGGCGTCGCGAAGGGCCTCGGCCGGCCTCAGCTCTCGAGGCTGCTCCGCGCACTCGTCGTGCGGCAGGCGCTCCCCCACATCTCCCCCACATCTCCCCCACATCTCCCCCACATCTCCCCCACATCTCCCCGTATCTCCCGCGCACCGTCGTGCGGCAGGTGCTCTCCGAAGTCAGCACGCCGTGCCCGCACGGCGGCTACTCCTCCCGCGTGGGGGTCGGGCGAAGGGCCGCCGAGGCGCCCTTCGCACCGCCGCCGCAGCCGCAGCAGCCGCAGCAGCCGCCGCCGCCGCCGCCGCAGCAGCAGCAGCAGCAGCAGCAGCAGCAGCAGCAGCAGCAGCGGATGTTGCCGCCTCCCATCGTGCCGGCGCAGCCTGCGCACACCCAAGCGGGCGCCCAGTTCCACCTCTGCCTGCGGTCGCTCGACGCCGACGCAGAGGCCGCCGCCATGGCCGCCGCCGTGAGCGGCAGGGCATTTGCCGGCGCGGCGGCGGCCGGGGGCAGTGCGAGCGAGGAGGAGGAGGAGGAGGAGGAGGAGGAGGAGGAGGAGAGGGAGGAGGAGGGGTGGGAGGAGGGGCGGGAGGAGGTGGGGGGCGGGAGCGAGTGCGCCGCGTGCGAGCCGATCTGTGAGCTCCACCGCCTAGCCTTCTTCGACGGCGAGATCTAGCCGAGATGCGGCCAAGAGACAGCCGAGATGCGGCCAAGAGACAGCCGAGATGCGGCCAAGAGACAGCCGAGATGCGGCCAAGAGACAGCCGCGATGCGGCCCAGGTGCAGCCGCGACACAGTCCGCGGCCAGCCCCCCGTCAGGCTCGCAGTCTGCTCTCGCCTTTGAGCGCTGCGCGGCACACTGCAACGGGGGCGCCGCCTGCTTCGACCGCTCGTGCAACAAGGGGGCCTCGCGCCGGCTCCGGCTCAAGCGGAGGCGACATGACATCACACTTCTCCCACTCCACCCGCTCTCCCTCCCGCGCCACACTTCCTCCACACACACGCTCACACACCCCACTCACACACCCCACCCCCACACCGCACCCCCTCACACTTCCGCACCCCGCGCGCACCGGGGCCTTGCACTTGGAATGTGCACCCCGCGCTCCTGCCACCCCTAGTGCAGATGCGAGGGCTGCCCGGCCCCCCTTCCCAGCGAGGGTACCCGACCTCACCCAACCCTCCTCACCCAGCCCTCCTCACCCACCTCACTCTACAGCACCTCACTCACACAATCCACCTCACACAACCCTCCTCACCCTACCACAGCACCTCACCCTACCACAGCACCTCACCTCAGGCACGACCGGCTCGGCCTACCGCCTCACCGGGCGAGCGGCGGCAGCGGCCCCTCCCCCGCCTCCTCCGCCGCCTCCTCCCACTGCCTCTTCACCCCTTCGCCCTCGCCGCGGGTGGCGGCGGCACAAGCGGCGACGGCGGTGTCGGCGGCGGCGACGGCGGTGTCGGCGCCTTCGGCGGCTGTCTCGACACCTTGCTCCGAGCTGCGTGTCTGCCGCCTCTTCTCGCCCTCCTCCCTCGGCGACGGCTCCGGCTACATGCCTCCGCCGCCGCCGCCGCCGCCGCCGCCGCCGCCGCCGCCGCCGCGCGCCACCCCGCTCGCCGTGCGCACAAACACGCCCGACCAGCCGCCGTCCCACCCCGGCCTCTCCCCGGCGCGCGGCGCGTGCGGTGGGCCTCTCCCGCCTCCCCCGACGCCGCGCTCGTCCGCACACGGCACGTCTCCAGGTTCGGCAGCGGACGGCAAGGGAGAATGAGCCTCCGAAAGAAGGCTCGCCCTGTGGTCCGAGCCGCGGCCCTGGGCTTTGTTGACGCCAGCGCGCCCCATGTCAGCCCGGCCCACATACGGCACGCTCCACGTCGGCCTCGGAGCGGAACATCTTCACGTAGCAAGGGCTCGGCGCCCTCCTCGACGCCAGGCGGCAGCCGGACCCTGCGGGGCGCCTGTCTCAACCCCCCCCTCCCCCCGACCCTTCTCCTGATCCCTCTCTCGGCCCTCCGCCAGGCGGCAGCCGGAGCCGGCAGGACGCAAATCTGGTCGGGTGCGCCGCACCGGCGGTCTGGAGGAGGGGCGGCGCGGGCATGGCCGTCGACCCAGCCTCTTCGTCCTCGCCCTTGCAGGCGCGTCCTCGAGCTCGCCGAGGAGGGCCGCTCTGTCGTCGAGATCGACCGCGCCCTCCACCGCGAACGGCACCCCGCCGAGGCCAGCCCGTGTCCCGCAGCTTGCTTTGTCCGTACTCACGGCTCTTCTCTGCTCAGGTACTCCACCAGCCGAGGCACGCCCTGGCCGCGCGCCAACGACGGGAAGGTGGTGGTGCGCACGCTGCTGCAGGCGGGCGTGTCGCCGCGCGCGGGCGACTCCAAGATCGCGCGCTACATCGACGAGCTGCGCGGCAAGGGCTACGGCCAGTGAGGCGAAGCGGGTCGCGGCTCCAGCGGCGGGCTGCGTCTAGAGCGGGGGAAGGCCCGGCGCGGAGAGCCAGCAGCCGCGCGCCGAGGAGGCACTACACGATGTCAGGTGTGCATGCGAGAACTTACGAGCACAGGTAAAGGCTAGGCTCACGAGGCGACAGCCCGACAGCGCCGCAGCGGCCGCTCGCCAACGGGGCCTGCCCCCTGCGCCTTGCGGGTCAGCTAGGGCTCGACTCGGGTCGTGCCGCGTGAAGTCTGAAGACGCTTGCGCGCGACACCGCGACTGATACAAGGCATGTTTTGCGAGTATATGGGACACGATGTCTCAAATATGAGAGGTTTTGACTCCTACCGGCTCCTGACGCTATCCCTGGCAGCTCTAATGACCAGGATCAGTAGTGCTATGATAGAGGGTGCCCATACTAGCGCAGGAGCTGCCACACTCGCCCGGACCGGCTCCCTCTGGGGCCGGTTCCGCAGCCCGTGAGAGCCGACAGCGGGGCCGTGCCGCGGGTGCCTACTGCTGAGTGCCACAAACACTGCGCCGTCCCGCCATCACCTACAGGCTGTCTTGTGTGATGGTTGGGATGTCCAAACGCCACCATCTTGGCTCTTGCGACCTCAAACCCGCGAGCTGTATGGGTGGTCCTGACGTCGACAGACGCCCGATGACCACGGTGAAGCTGAGCCGGAACGAGTCGACAAGTCTCGTCTGAGCCCGTGGCGGTCGCCGGCTGAGTCGCTGTGCACGGGCCGGTACCTCAGGCGTCACCTCCGCAGCCTCAGGTCTCACACTCCATCACCGCCGCCGGGACGCCGTCGGTGGCACGCTCGGCGGCGAGTTTGTGGCAGCCCCACAGCGAGCGCGGCGTCGAGCCTATTCGGTCTGGTCGGTCGGCCGCACTCACCGGGTGCCAGGGAGTGCGGCCGACACGCGAGCGGTGCTTCCTGGCAGCGCGCGCCGGCTGTGGGGCTGCCACAAACTCGAGACACGCTTTTTGGGACATTTTCGACGCTTTTGTCCCATATACTCGCAAAACATGCCACAATCATCACATGGATCCACCGTAGCCGCCGCCGCACTGGTATGTGTCTCGTGCGATTTATGGCGTATTCATTCGGAATACAGGTACACCAGCTCCGAGACTGTCCGGCGTGCGGCGCGCCCCCCCACCCCCCCTCCGCGGGCTCTCTCGTATTTTGCAATAAAAAAACGAGAGAAAGTGACGAGTGTGAATGTGATTATGTGTATACACACATCTCTCGCTTGCCTTGTGCGCAAGAAGCACGATCGGGACTGAGCACGCGCGCGCGCACGCGCACCGCCTCCCACCGCATGCGGCCATGCCGCACATATGCTCCTCACGCCGTGTGAGCACGTCCCGCATCGGAGCACGGAGGCGCCTCGGACCCACTCTTAGAGCGCCAGGAAGCCCGAGACGATCAGGGGCGCCATGAGGAAGGCCATCTTGTGCGCTGGCTTCGTCTCGAGCTTCAGCTCGGCGTAGATCGGCCCGAATACCGCCGTGAGGCAAGCCATCGTGAGGGCGATGGGCACGGCCGCGGCCGTCTCCATCGTGCTGAACGTGTAGATGAGCGTGAGGAACGCGATGCCCGAGAGCCGCGAGATGAAGAGGTGGTACTTGTCGTACGGCGTGTCGAAATTCTGCTCGATCACCGTGGCCGGCGCGAGCACGAAGCCGACTGCATACATCCCCATGAAGGCGGAAAAGGACTTGAGCCACACGCTGCCGCTCACCACACCGCCGCCGCGGAGCGCGAGAGCGCTGGCGGCCGAGGACGGCAGCTTGGCGGCGGGCACCTTGGTGGCCACCTTGGTGGCCGGGTCAGCAACCTTGAGGGCGGACGAGGTCGCGAGAGCGGCGAGGACGAGGAAGGCCCTCATCAGTGTGCTCTGTTGGTGCCTGTTGGTGCGGGGGAGTCGAGAGCCGAGGGACACCCGAGGGACGCCCCTGTCCCGCGCCTCCCCCTACACGCCCTGCCCCGCAAGATCTCACTCCATCCCGGCCTGCGGCATACCTCGGCACCCCCTTGCACGGAATCTGAGCGTGAGGGAATCTGAGCGTGAGGGAATCTGAGCGTGAGGGAACCTGGGCAGTGCCGCGTAGTGCGGCGTGCGCGCGGGCGTGCGCGCGGGCGTGCGCGCGGGCGTGCGCGCACGTGCGCGGGCGTGCGCGGGCGTGCGCGGGCGTGCGCGGGCGTGCGCGGTGTGCGCGGGCGTGCGCACGCGTGCGCGGCATGCGCGGCCAGGGCGCAGGCAAGTGCCTGAGGGTATGGGGGTGGGCGCCACCCTGGGGCTAGCCATAGCATCGTCGGCTCAGTGATGGGTATCCAGTGAGAGGTTGAGGTGCAGGACACACCTTTGTCCCCCTAGGGTCACACTCCCTGGCGCTGCGCGTATGTTACCAGGTGCAGGTCCCTTCCTGTTGTTTTGGATGCCCCGCACCCCGCTCCGAAGAAAGCACGGTCCGATTTTATAAGCAGGTCTGACTCGCAGCTGCGAGAAGTTGCTGCAGGTCTCGCGGCGCCCGGGGCGGGCCCGGCGCGCGGGCCTGAGGTGGAATGCGTGGCCGCCCCCTTTTGTTTGGGCTTTGGCATGATCTTGATACGGAACCCTCCTATGTCTGTCTAAAAACAATGAAAGAGCTAATAGCAATTTAGGCTCCTCCGCCACCCTCGAACCCTCTACATTGTCCATTGAACACATGCGTGGGGCGGTGCCACTGTGTGACAACACCCTGATGCCTCGCCGCCTCAGGTTCGCGACGGCCACAAGCCAGCCGCCGCGCTGCTCTCCCTGTGAGCCCAGTCACAGCTGCCGGTCGTCCCGAAGGCCGAGCTCGGCGAGCAGCGACTCGACCGCGTCCGCCACCCGGCGCAGCACCGCCACCCAACCCTCCAGCTCGGCCCGCACCGCCTCGCGCCTCGCTTGCGGCTCTCCCTGCAAAGGGGTAGAGGGGTACACGTTCATGTGCGGGTTCGGAGGAGGTGGCGGCGGTGAGGGCGTTGGCGGTGAGGGCGGCGGCGGTGATTGTGGCGGCAACCGCGGGGAAGGCAGGGGTGGCGGGAGCATGTCGCACCTCCGCCTCCGCAGCCTCCTCGCCCGGAGGCGGCAGCGAGAGGGCGGAGAGCATCGCCTCGCGAGACGGCAGCGCGGCCAGCGCCGCCCGGAAGGTGCCCCGCAGCACCCAGCCGTGGAACGGCGCAACCTGGGAGGGCGGGCGGGCAGGGATGGCGCAGAGGGCGAGAGGCGTGTCTGCACGCGCCGCCGCACCCCGCCATGACCTCTCCTCCTGCTCCCTTCACCTCCCGCTCGTAGGCCGTATCTCCCCCATATCTCCCCCATATCTCCCCATATCTCCCTTCACCTCCCGATCGTAGGCGAGGCTGCCGAGGGCGGCGGGCGAGCCGCCCCGCGCGTCCGAGAGGCCGCTCGCCAGCTCGGCCCAGAAGCGCTTCATCCTACATGGGCGTGCCATGGACGTTTCTGGCCGTGCGGTGTGGCGTCGCCAGTGCTGGCTCGCGTCTCGGACCAACGGGGTCGGCCACGCCGCATCTAGGCTCTGCTAAGATGACAATACCCAATACTCTGCTATGATGACAATACCAATCCTCTCATCGCAGCATCTATCTCTGCGCTCCGCATGCTCCACAGCAGCGCGAGGGCGGCAGAGCCCTCCTCGAGCCGGGCCTACAGGACACGCCACTGACATGTCCGGGACGTGTCCCGCAGGCGGCGGCGGGCTGCTTCCTCGAGCAGGGCCGGCTGCTGCACGCCCGCCGCCGCCTCTGCCTCGAGGAGCCGCCGCAGCCCGGCCGGTCGGCCGTGCCGCTCCCACGACTCCCGCACCGTCCGCGTGTTGTGCGCGTCGCAGCGCACCACCAGCCTCATGAAGGAGCCCAGCCGGCTCGAGTGCGTCGCCTGAGTGTCGATCGCGTGCAGCAGCTGCCCGACCGGGACGTCGCCGTGCCGCGCGATGGAGGGAAGGAGAGCCTCGTACTCCTGACGAGAGGTGAGAGCGTGAGACGGCGATGGGCGGTGAAGAGAGGGGTGAACGGTAGGGCGTCTCGGGCCTCCGCGCCTGATTGATGACTCGGACGAGCGTGGGCGACTCTGCGCGTGGTTGACTTGGACGAGCGGCCGCAGCAGAGTCGTGCAGCGCTGGGGCCGACTGCGGCGCGAGCGGCTTAGGCGTCAGGATCAGGGCTCGCATCACAGCGCTCATCATGGCTTACCACCGGAGCCAGTGCCAGTGGGCCGAGCGGAGGGTGATGAATCGCGCGAGCTCCGCGATGAACACGTGTGTATTCTCTTTTTTTCCCGGTTTCTTTTTATTTTCTCTTCACTCTGGACCGAAGTGAGAGCTCCGCGAGAAGCCTGAGCAGGGCGAACGAACAGGTGAGACGTCTCTGTCTCACGGGTGTTTCGTCCCTGTGCCTGTCTCAACACTGTGTCATACTCGCACCGATCTCTGCGTTCCGAACGGAATCCTCTCCTCGTTGAGACGCCGCGAGAAGCCTGAGCATCCCCTCCTTGTCCTGTCCATCTGCGCGGCTTCTCACTGCCCCGCCCACATCTCGATCTTCTTGGGCAGCAGCTGGTTTGACATGTCCTCTCCGTGGCCGAGGCAGCCGCTCTCGCCCGCGCCCCAGGTGAAGACGTCGCCGTCGGCGGTGATGGCGAGGCTGTGGTATGGCCCAGCCGACACAGCGACGACGTGCTGGCCAGCAAAGGCCTCGACCTTCTTGGGCAGCAGCTGGTCCTGCTCGTCGCCGTGGCCCAGCTTGCCGTCGCGTCCGCTGCCCCAGCTGCAGACCTCTCCGTCGGCGGTGATGGCGAGGCTGTGGGAGATCCCCGCCGACACAGCGACGACGCGCTGCCCAGGAAAGGCCTCGACCTTCTTCGGCTGCAGCTGGTCCTGCCGGTCGCCGTGGCCCAACCGGCCGCCGCCTCCCTGGCCCCAGCTCCAGACACTGCCGTCGGCGGTGAGGGCAAGGCTGTGAAAGAATCCCGCCGACACGGCGACGACGCGCTGCCCAGCTAACGCCTCGACCTTCATGGGCAGCAGCTGGCGCTGCCGGTCGCCGTGGCCCAGCATGCCCGAGTAGCCTGCACCCCAGCTCCAGAGGGCGCCGTCGGCGGTGGTGGCAAGGTTGTGGTACTCCCCAGCCGACACGGTGACGACGCGCTGCCCAGCAAAGGCCTCGATCTTCTTGGGCAGCAGCTGGGTCTGCTCGTCGCCGTGGCCCAGCCGGCCTTGGCCTCCAAAGCCCCAGCTCCAGACACTGCCGCCGTCGGTGATGGCGAGACTGTGGCTATCTCCAGCTGAGACAGCGACGACGCGCTGATCAGCGAAGGCCTCGATCTTCTTGGGTAGCAGCTGGTTCTGCTCGTCGCCGTGGCCCAGCTTGCCTCGGCCTCCACGGCCCCAGCTCCAGACGGCTCCGCTGCCGGTGAGGGCGAGGCTGTGCCTCTCTCCAGCCGACACGCTCACAGCGCACTCGCCGCCCAGCGGAGAGGGGAGGCGGGTCGGCGTGTTGAGCCGCGTCACGCCCTCGCCGTGGCCGAGCAGGCCTGGGCCCCAGGCCGGCGCATAGCCGCACGACGAGAGCCGCCCCTCGGCGTCGATGAAGAGGCTGTGCCGTTCGCCTGCGGCCGCCCTCGCCGGCGGGTTGGACTCGCGCAGCAACGCCAAAAGGCACAGCCACCGCACGGCGCAGCCCTCGCCCGCCGGCGGCGCCGGAGGCTCGTAGCCGGCCTCTTGCAGGCGCAAGCGGATGCCCTCCAGCGCAAGCGAGGCGTGGAAGAGGACCGAGACGGCCGCGACGCGAGCGATGTCGGCGGGGTCGCAGCGAGAGAGGGCGCGCAGGAGGAGCTCCGTGGGGAGGTCGAGGAGGCAGGTGGGCGGCGGTGCGCTTGGCGAGGGCGCAGCGGAGGCGGAGGCGGGGGCGGGGGCGAGGCGGCGCGAGCGGCGGCGCGGCGGCGTGGACATACAAGTGCGCACACTTAATGATTTTCGACCGACCGCAGGGAAACGCAGGGACCCCCCGACCGAGCTGCGAAACAACGGCGTCCACACCGGCCGCCGCTCGAGAAGCCCCAAAATTTTCTTCGGCGCTGCGCGCCGTTGCAGTCGTAGCTGTAGTCGAGTGTAGGTACACGTATGTTGCAGCCCAGCTATCGTGCCGCAAAAAGGTCCATGTGGCTAGAAAAAATGCTGCCGGTCGCCTCGAAAGCGCCCGCCGGTGTGTGTCCAAAGATGTAGCGCTACAAGTTTGGGGACGCATCCGACACACGGGCAGGTTTTCGCGCTTCTATGCTGGCCAACGGTGATGACGCCGTCGCGTCACCGACGGCTCGTGCTTGCGTATGATAGCAACCCCTCGTCCGACGGCAGCGTCCTCGTGTCCGCCACTCCGCCCGCGCGGCATCATTACTGTCCGCCTACACCACTGCGGCCGCCATCGTCACCCCTCGCCGCTTGAGCCTCCGGCCGCGTGCGGCAACTGCGCACCTACCAGCCCGCAATCGAGGGTGGAGAGTGGCCACGCGCTCAGTCACACTACTACGTGCCATCTGAGCACGTCTTGGCGTATACGAATGAATATCTCCCGATGCGTTCCGGGCCGCGAGCGGCCGAGGGGGTGCATTGTACCCACTCGCACGCCGGCACGAGCGCGGCGCCGCAGTGGGGCAAACGGGGCATCTGGGGCTAGCTCATCTATGAGCATCATCTCTGCCGCTTCTCGCCATCCCCGAGGAGCAGCGCGCCCGAAGCAGGTGAGTCACGGCCGCTGTCCAGCGAGCGCGGCGGCGGGCCTGGGAGGGAACCTCAAGGAGAAATATAGAAGTTCGAGATTCGAATCCTATTTGACAAAACCGGGAGCGTGAGCTGGAAGTGACGGGAGTACAAGAAAATCGCCAAAAATTTTCTTCGGCGCTGACGCGCCGACAAAGCTGGTGTCCGACCCCGACCGCCGGCCGAAACAGCCGCGTCCAGCCCGACCTGCGGCCGGCCGAAAATCATTAAGTGTTGCGCACTTGTAATGTCTTGGAATAACGCGGGCTCTCAGCGGAGCTGGGAATACATGTAGGACCGCCGCAAGCGGCGTGGCGTGGAGCGGTTGAGCATCCCTCCCCGGGGGCGATATGTGTTTTTATTAATTCACAAAGCACATATCGCCCGCCTCCGGTCCACCTCGCCCCTACAACCTCATCACTCCCAAGAGAGTGTGACCTCCCCGGGGTCAAATCGTGTCCTGACTTCACTTTTTGACGGATTGCTAAAAATCTCTCGGATTGACGGCCGAGCCACTGGGTGATGAATGCCGAGCTCCGCAAAACGCATGCCGATGCCCAGAACTCAGTGACAGTGTCTCTCGGGCTCGGCCCCGCCGTGACGCCGAACCGAATCCTCTCCTCGTTGAGACGCCGCGAGAAGCCTGAGCATCCCCTCCTTGTCCATCTGCGCGGCTTCTCACTGCCCCGGCGCCCACATCTCGATCTTCTTGGGCAGCAGCTGGTTTGACAGGTCCTCTCCGTGGCCTAGGCAGCCGCTCTCGCCCGCGCCCCAGGTGAAGACGTCGCCGTCGGCGGTGATGGCGAGGCTGTGGTCGACCCCAGCCGACACAGCGACGACGTGCTGGCCAGCCAAAGCCTCGATCTTCTTGGGCAGCAGCTGGTCCTGCTCGTCGCCGTGGCCCAGCTTGCCGCAGGCTCCATAGCCCCAGCTCCACACGGCACCGTCAGCGGTGATGGCGAGGTTGTGAGCCCATCCAGCCGACACAGCGACGACGCGCTGCCCAGGAAAGGCCTCGATCTTCTTCGGCTGCCAGTGGGTCTGCCGGTCGCCGTGGCCCAGCTGGCCTTCGCCTCCCCCGCCCCAGCTCCAGAGGGCGCTGTCGGCGGTGAGGGCAAGGCTGTGAAAGAATCCCGCCGACACGGCGACGACGCGCTGCCCAGCTAACGCCTCGACCTTCATGGGCAGCAGCTGGCGCTGCCGGTCGCCGTGGCCCAGCATGCCCGAGTAGCCTGCACCCCAGCTCCAGAGGGCGCCGTCGGCGGTGGTGGCAAGGTTGTGGTACTCCCCAGCCGACACAGCGACGACGCGCTGCCCAGCAAAGGCCTCGATCTTCTTGGGCAGCAGCTGGTGCTGCCCGTCGCCGTGGCCCAGCTGGCCTGAGGCTCCACCGCCCCAGCTCCAGACCTCTCCGTCGGCGGTGAGGGCGAGGCTGTGGAAGCCTGCAGCCGACACAGCGATGGCGCGCTGATCAGCGAAGGCCTCGATCTTCTTGGGTAGCAGCTGGTTCTGCTCGTCGCCGTGGCCCAGCTTGCCGACGTCTCCTGCGCCCCAGCTCCAGAGAGAGCCGTCGGCGGCGAGGGCGAGGTTGTGCAGCTCACACGCCGACACGCTCACAGCGCGCTCGCCACCCAGCGGGGAAGGGAGGCGGGTCGGCGTGTTGAGCCGCGTCACGCCCTCGCCGTGCCCGAGCAGTCCTGGCGTCCAGCTCTCAACCTTTCCGCACGACGAGAGCCGCCCCTCGCCGTCGATGAAGACGCTGTGGTGCCGGCCTGCCGCCGCCCTCGCCGGCGGGTTGGACTCGCGCAGCAGCGCCGCGAAGCACAGCCACCGCACGGCGCAGCCCTCGCCCTCCGGCTGCGCCGGCAGCTCGAAGCCGCGCTCTCGCGCCCACAAGCGGATGCCCTCCAGCGCAAGCGAGGCGTGGAAGAGCAGCGAGACGGCCGCGACGCGGGCGATGTCGGCGGGGTCGCAGCGAGAGAGGGCGCGCAAGAGGAGCTCCGTGGGGAGGTCGAGGAGGCGGGCGGGAGGCGGCGTGCTCGGCGAGGGGGCGGCGGAGGAGGCGGAGGCGAGGCGGCGCGAGCGGCGGCGCGACGGGGTGGACATCGCGAAAAAAATCGAGGGAGGACCAAGGACCCCGGCTGATGTCCAAACTCACGCGATGGAAAGAAAGAAAGAACGAAAATGGACAACCCAAGGGAGGGATGGGAGGACGACACGCCGCCACCACACAGGGATTTTAAGGAGAGGGGTGTGGTGCGCTAGCCGTCGCCCACCCTTGGGCATCCGCCTCTTCCTATCTCTCTTCGCAGTCTCTCGCCGATTCTCGCTGCAACAAACTGTACTTCATATGGGCGTGGGGTTGGGAGGCACTGTGAAGGTCATCAATGTCGGCGCTCTGCCCTGGCCGCTCTGCTGACCAGCACTGCTGACAGCACTACGGTCGGTCACTGCACTGTATCGTTCGCTCAGTACCAAAGGCCACATGCTCAGCGCCGCCGACGAGGCCTGCTTCTCCGCCGCGGCCGCGGCCGTGCCACTGCTCGCGTCGCTCTCGCGCGAGCAGCTCTCCGTGGCGCGGCTCGGAGGACTCACAAACATCGTCTTTCGTGTCGAGGCGCGCGTGGCCGGCGGCCTGCAGCGCTACTGCCTGCGCTGCCCCGGGCCGGGCACCGAATCGTACATAGACCGCGCCGCGGAGAGGGCCAATGCCGAGGCCGCCTGCCGCGCTGGCGTCGGCCCCGCGGTGCTCTCCTTCAGCGACGGAGGCGTGCTGCTCATGCCGCTGCTGCCCGGCGAGACCATGTCGCCCGAGGCCTTCCGGTCCAGGCCTGGCGCGGCGGCGCGCGCAGGCGTCGCGCTCAGGACGCTGCACCACTCTGGTGAGGCGTTTGCGAGCCGGTTCGAGCTCTTTGAGCAGGCCAGCCCCAAATTGCGCGCGGCCTCTCACGGGGAACCGCCGCAGGCGGGAGCGCAGTTCGCTCTGTGAGCAGGTCGACAAGTACCTCGGCGAGCTCGGCGACGGCACAGCGCTGCCCGAAGGGTACGGCGAGGCGCTCGCGGACGCGCAGGCCGTGCGCGCGGCGTTATCTGCCAGGCCGCTCCCCGTCGCGCCGTGCCACTGCGACCCGCTCTGCGAGAACTTTGTCGACGACGCGGAGAGGCGCGGCGTCGCGCGAGGAGTGGGGAGTTGAGAGCTGAGGGACACTCTGTCCCGCGACATGTGTGAGGGGGGAGAGAGGTTGAGAGATGTGGATGTGTGTGTGTGTGTCTATATATGTAGAGAGATCTTGAGAGAGGGAGAGAGGGAGAGAGAGAGAGAGAGAGAGAGAGAGAGAGAGAGAGAGAGAGAGAGAGAGAGAGAGAGAGAGAGAGAGAGAGAGAGAGAGAGAGAGAGAGAGAGAGATCTGACGGCCGGCGTTGTCGGCACGCCTCGCAGCGGGGCGATGCGCATCGTCGACTTTGAGTACGCGGGAATGTGCGACCCGCTCTGGGACGTGGCGGACCTTAGCGTGGAGGCGAGGCATTGGAGGGGGAGAGGGGAGGAGAGGGGAGGGGAGGGGAGGCATGGAGGGGGAAGTCTCCTCCGCGTGTCAATTCTCGCCTCCCCTCCGTACTCAGTGTCAACTCTCGCCTCCCCTCCGTACTCAGGCGGGCCTCGACGCGGCGAAAGAGGCGGAGCCGCCCCGCCGCCCCGCTGCCGGCCGAGACAGGGCCGAGGTGAGCCGAGATCGGCCGAGATCAGGCGGAGCTGCTGCGCGCGTACTTTGGCGGAGCGACGCCGACGCAGGAAGAGGTGGGTCGCGTCGTGCTCTACAAGGAGCGGTGGGAGGAGGAGCACTGCCGAGGCCCGCCAAGCACGGCGTCGCTGACGCGCGCTCTCCGGCGCACGCCGCAGGCGATGTGCGACTTGCTGTGGACGCTCTGGGGGCTGCTGCAGCACAAGAATGGCAACCCGGCGGAGGACTTTTGGGCCTACGCGACCGGCCGCTTCGTGCGGTGCCAGCGGCTCATGGCGAGGCCCGACTTTGCGCAGCACGTGGCCGCCGTGCGGGCGGGGCAGCCGAGCGGCTAGGATCGTGGAGCTCGCTCACTGCCGGTCACAATGTTCTATTCTCGCGGGAGTCGCTTAGGCGGCTCCCGTGGAGTACCTGTGTTAGTGCCAGTGCGCGCCAGTCCCGTGCCAGTGGGTTGTGCGAGGGAATTTTGTTGTAAAGTTCTATTCTTAATTCTACGTCGCGCCGACTCGCGCGGCGCTCGTGCCTGCTGCCTCCGTCCCGTCAGGCCTCATGAATCTTGAATGGTTTCATATATTCTGCAGGGGGGGGGGGGGACGTCCAACCGCTGCCTGAGCCTCCACACACACAGCTCCAGCTGCAGCTCCAGGGCTCTCGCACCTCAACCTCTCATAGAGAGATGGACAAGCGGGAGCTCGGCGCGCGCGGCACAGCTCCTGCGTCCTGGCGACTGGCGACTGGCGCGTGCCCACGGGTGATGCTGCATGCTCATACGAGCAGCGCTTCGCGAGAGGATCCTGCTGCCGCCGCCTGCCGCCTCGAGGCGGCAAGCGGGAGGATCCGGGCGGAGACCACGGCAACGAGGCTGAAGACCATTTTCTTTTTTCATTACGTAGTCGGCTTTCATTTTCTTTTCTAGGGGAAACAATGCTCACACACGCTCTCACTCCTCACCCATAGAAGACGGCTCTAGTAGCATGCTCCGTTGCCCATTGTCCACAAGCCACCCTGACATCTTTTCCAAGTACGGAGCGGCGTCGACAGCCTCGACAGCCCCTCCCTCCGACTCCACCATCAGCCGCACCGCTCCCTTGTTCCCGGCGGCGACAACGCTCGTCGACGCAACACCACCGCCAGCCTCGTCCTGCTCGAGCTCGACCAGCACCTTGCTGCATCCGAGGAGGGTGAGGCTCTCCACCGGCCCCTCCGCACGACGGAGCAAGCACTCGGGAAGGGCCTCGAGGCTGACGCAATCCGTCAGGTCGAGCGACTCGAGCTTCGGCAGCGACGCAGGCAGCGAGGTCAGCGCGGTGCACCCCTTCAGCGAGAGTGCGCGCAATGCCAGGCAGCAGCGGATCGCCCGCGGCAGCGTGAGGAGCTTTGCGCAGCCGTCGAGGGTTAGGCGCTCAAGGGCGAGGCACTCGCCGATCGACTCTGGCAGCGCCGTGAGGGTCGCGCCCAAGCCGCCGGCTGCGCCGCGCAGATTGAACTTCCACTGCCGCCGCGGCACGCCGTCGCGCATCAAATCCCAATCCTTCGCGCCAGCCGCCGTGAGCAACTCCACTACCCGCGTGTGCCCAGCGAGCACGCAACGGACCATCGCCGTGCTGCCGCCAGAATCCACTGCGTCGACGGCCGAGCCGGCGGCGAGAAGCTGCTGCACGACAGAAACGTCGCCGGAGCCCGCCCCCGCCATGAGGGCCGTGTACCCGATGGTGGCGTCCACGTCTACTTTGGCGAATGCGTTCACTTCGGCGCCCGCCGCCAGCAGCGCCGCCACGGAACGAGCGTGGCCTCCCTCGGCCGCGCTGATAAGGGGGGTGTATCCCATTAGGCTGTGGCGTGTGCCGACGCCGACGCCGAGCATGCCCGCGTGGTTGGGGCTGCGCGTGACCGCGTGATTGGGGTCCGCGCCCGCTCGCAGTAGCAGGTCGACTTGGTTAATCGAGCTGGAGCCGAGCATGAGTGCCGTACAGCCGTCCGCGTCTTGCAGCTCAAGATCAGGGCCGAGCTGGCCTGGCTTCCGCCAGTGGACGTCGATAGAAGTCTTCGACGGTGATAGTGGCGCGCCGGTGATGGTCGGCTCCGCATCCTCCAGCAGCGCCTTGGTGAGTCCGCCGTGCGAATTCAGCGCGCAATACATGAGGGCCGTCTTGCCATGCGCGTCGTACGCGTTGACGTTGGCGCCCGCGCGCAGCAATGACAAGACGCTGCGCACCTCGGTGTTGTGTCCGAGCCTTGCCGCGTAGATCAGCGGCTGGCTCTGCGAGTTCGGGTCCGCATTGGCCGCAAGCAGGGCGTCGACGCAGCGCACGCCCTCGTCGCCCTTGCATACAGCCGCTAACGCGAGGGCATCGATGCCATGGGATTGGTGTCGGCTCATACTTCGCCCAAGGCCTTTGCGGCACTCTTTGAGCGTCGCGTCCGCCTTTGCCGCAAGGAGCAGTTCCACACAGTCTGCCGCGCCGACACGAGCGGCCAGCATGAGAGGCGTCACGCCGTGCGCGACGGTCTGGTTGACCGCAGCCTCGCCACTCATAGCCAACGCCTCCTGAATGGCCTGAACATCGCCCATCGAGGCCGCGTGCAGCAGTGCGCTTCCCTTGCGCGCAGCGGCGGAGGCCGCGCGCTCAAAGGGCTGAACCTGCGCCACGCCGCCGTCGACGTCGCGCCTGCGGCAGATGGCCTTGGCGATCTGATCGCCCTTCGCGTCGCCCGTGAAGTGCTTGACGAGCATGCGGACGGTGAGCGGCCACGGCTGCTTGTTGACGTTGCGCCCGCCCAGCTGAGTGAAGAGAAAATGGTCGAACGCCTCGAGGCCGCTGCGGTGCAGCTTGCTGGGCACGAGCAGCTTCTGTCTGCACACCTCGTCGACACGCTCCGCGACCTCCCTTGGGACCGGGCAGCGCTCCACTGCGAGGACCAGCAGCAGCGCCGCCGCCTCGTGCAGCTCCTTCTCGGCAAGCAGCTCCGCGCACTGGCGCATCGCCTTGGCGACCGCCTGTGGCGCCCCCTCCACCCGCGCCCACGTCGAGCGCTTGCCAAGGAGGTCAAGCGCCGCCTCGCGCGTCTCGAGCGCCTCGGTCGTCGCCTGCTTGAAGAGGCTCGCGTCGTTGAAGAACTCGCGTCCACGCACTTGCGCTTTGGCCTTGAGCGCGTCGAGAGGGTCGAGCACGGCTTGTGGCGCGCCGGAGAAGCGCAGCTCGTCGGCCATGCCCTCGAGCAGGCCCACGTGCGAGCGCTGCAGCTTCGAGATCACCTGCTCGATCGTCAGCGCGTTGAGATTGACCGAGAGGCGCGCCTCAATGACCACCACACTGCCGTCGACTCGCGTGCCCTGCACCTCTAGCCCGGTCAATGGCCCAAACAGCGTCTCCCTCTCGTGCGGGTACTGGCTCAGCCACGAAATGTCCGCGCCGCGGTCGACCATGCCCTGCTGGATCTCGAAGACGAGGCCATAGTTGGCCCCCTCTCCCGCCGCATAGCCCATCGCGACCGACCTGTCGGTGGTCGTCGAGAGGAAGGCCCGCTCTACGCCGCCGCGCACGCCAAACTCGTTAGCTGTCCAGAATCCGGGTGGCAGCGCCATACCAGCGATGCCGCGGTAGATCTTGCTCGCCGCCGTGAGCTTTGCGCTTTTGACGATGCACGAATTGATTGCGTGAATTGTCGTCGTGTACTTGTTCATCGTGCCAAGCGCCGCCTCGAATGACGTCTCGCCCGCCTTGTACCGCGCCGCGACGTCGCCGGAGCAGCAGAGCCGGATCATCTCGCCGCGTAGGTACTGCGACTCGGCGTTGAGCCCGCGCAGCACGCCGTTGTACTTGACAAAGAGCGGGCCGGTGTAGAGGCGCGCCGCGACCACCTCCTGCCGGATGAGCTCCGGCTCGCCGAGCGCCAGAAGCCGCGCGTTGAAGGCGCCCATCTCAACGAGCACTTCGGCGAGTGGCTTCGGGCGGCGGCAACGCTCGCGGTCAGGCAGCATCGACTCGCTCTCCTCGGCGTAGGCGTCACGGCCGAGGCGCGTCAGGCCCTCAGCGGCCTCGAGCACAAAGAGCCACTCCTCTTCGCTAGTGGTGTGGACGCCGTAGTTCGGCGTCGTGAAGGGCTCGCGCGAGTCCGCCGCCTGCGTGTGCTCCGCCCGCATCGCCTCAGCGACGCTCGGGTGCGGCGCGCCGATTCGGCCCTCGAGGCCTTTGTGGAAGTCGGTGATGCTCGCGTACGATAGCTCGACGGCGCCGGCGAACTTTGCCTGCAGGTCGGCGCCGCCCGGCGCGCTCGCGCCTCCCCTGGAGAGCGCGGAGAGCTCAGGGTACAGGATGCGCGCAACCTTGCTCTCGAGGCCCGCCGCGCGCAGCCGTGCAGCGAGCGCTGCCTCAGAATCGAGCGCGAGGCCGAGCGAGCGGCACGCTGCGAGCTCGTCCTCCGTGCCGTCGCCGTCGACGCCGAGGAGGCACCCAGAGATGGCACATTCGAGGTCGATGGAGGCCAGCCAGCCCTCCGCCGTCCACGAGCCGTTTTGCTTGCTGAGATTGGGTTTCACGACTCCGCTGCTGGCGCAGCGCTTCTGCAGCGCCCGTATGAGGGCCGGCAGTGGGATGGTGGGGTTTGATGCGATGAATGCGTCGACCGCTGCATCAAGACGTTGCTCGGCCAACGTGGTGGCGTCGCAGCTGTTGCGTTTCGCAGGTGGCGTCCTCGAACGTAAAGGGTGCCAACGCAGGGGCATCTTTTGGCTGCCGGAGCGACTACAGAAGCGCACGCGTTGCTTGGCGGAGCGACTGCAGAAACGCACGCGTTCGGCACGCGTTCCGGCCTTACAGGAGCGGCCTTTCTGCTGGCATTTATGAGCCGTTTTCTTTTTATTCGCAAAGCTGGCGAGGTACTTCCAGCCTGCTGTGGGAACAGCTGACGCAGTCTCGCCGAGGCTCGCCCCAGCATCTCGGGTTGACTCGGCCAGACAAAAACCCCGAGAGGCGTGGGAGTACCTCGCCAGTCGCAAAGTGGTTTGAGCCTCCGATTTGGGGCTGATGAGGCTGACAATCTGACAAGCCGCCTCCCCCCCCCCCCCCCCCCAGCAAAGCGAAAGCCGTAAACGCGCCGATTTTGATCGACGTTCTCTTACAAGGAGACAGCGATCAAAGCGATATCAATCAAGGCGATGCGTTCACAAAATCCAGTCAGGTGGGAAGTGCACCGCCGATTTGCGGCACCGGAGATGGCAGTCTCAAGCCGGAGGCTATCATCCTGCAGGACTCCATGGTGGGGTCAATCGAGTACCTGGGTGATGGAGGGAAAGAGATGACAATACTCAACGGGCGAAAGTCGAAGCCTACTCTCGAGAAAGACGGCTTCGAGCTGCTGCAGCTCGAGGCGCCGCTTCTTTTGGGGAGCGAGATCTCAACAGATCATGGATGGTCATGATCCTGTCGAGCTCGAGGATCATGACTACGAGCGCGTGGCTGAGGTAGTAAAAAGACGTACGAACGCCCAAGAAGTGCATGTGTTTCGACATACATTTCGTCGATTCAGAGGGCGGCTTCTGATACGCGTCCCGCCCGTGTGTGGGGAGTGGCTTTGCACCCGAGTCAGGGCAGTGTAGTAGTGTGCGTGAGGCGGCCTGTAGAGGCGGCCGGCGAGCCGATGGACGTCAGGCGCGCACGGGGCGTGGTACATACATGAAGCGCGCCGCGCTCACGCGCGCCACTTGAACGGGTAGTCCGCAGTCGGCTCGCAAGACGCGAAGTCGTCCTGGAGCTGGCTCAGGAGCGCCTCGATGCCGGGCCGCGTGAACTCACCGTCAATGCCGAGCAGCGCGTCCGAATTCTTGAGCATGTCGCGCCACGCCTTGCCGAGCGTCTTGATCGCCTTCTCCAGCTCCTGTCCCGGTTCCCAGCACTCATTGTCGTTCATCCAAAAGTCGTAGTTCTTCAGCCCGTGTGTCAGCGCGAAGAGCGCGTCGAAGCGTTCGGGCAGCGTCTTCTTCTTGAGCGCCGCTTGCACCTCCTTGGGGATGCCAGCGCAGATTTGGTTTCCGTCGCTCGTGTTGAACATGGCGAAGCCGCCGGCAGATTGGCCGCAGGAGCAGAAGTCGTCGGCCTTCTCGAGCGCCTTGGCACGCGCCTCTGTGATCAGGATGTGGCGCAGCTGCAAGATCTGCTCCGCCGTGTACTCTGGCTCCTCGTCCGGCTCGCTCTCGTCGTCGGAGCCACCGCTGTCGACGCCCACAATGAGCATGGAGCCGACGCACTTGTGCTTCTCCTGCTCCGCCTCGAGGCGCTTGAAGTAGTCGTCCTTGGTATGACAGCGTGCCGGTCTTCTGCTTCTTCTGCGCGACAGCGCTCTGCGCGCCACCACTCTGCTTCTTCTCCTTGTTCTGCGTCGGCGGCATGGGAGCGCTCCTCTCTCGCGCGCTCTCGCGCCGGCTCTCGCGCCGGTGTCGCACCGAGCCGTCTTGCAGAAAAATCCGCGGGAAAGCCGTGTCCCGACTGTCGATGCGGTGAAGAGGTAGACGCCCGAGGGTGGGCGACGGCTAGCACCACACTTCTCCCCTAAAATCCCTGTGTGGTGGCGGCGTGCCGTCCTCCCATCCCTCCCTGCCTGGTCTGTTTTCTTTCTTTCTTTTTTTCGATGCGGTGACTTGGACCACTAAAAACTGGCTGGGGCCTGGTGCGCCTTCGCTTTCTTCTGTGTTCAGAGGAAGCCGTCGCCCGGGCACAGAAACCCTGGTCATCACTGTGATGATCAGCCAGGGATAGGGGTTAAGCCGTTTCCCCCGTTTAAAACTCTCAAGAAGGTGCTCTCACGGCAACACCGAAGAGAAGGCCCGCCGCCTAAACATGGGCTGCAAGGCGCGCGGGCAACCCGGCCAACCCTTCGACCACAAGAACGGCCACGGCTACGTCAAGGCGCATCGCGGTTTCTACCACGACGCGATCTTTGTCAAGCGCAACAACTTCAACCTGCTGCTCCACGAGACGTTCGGCGGCGGCTTCTCGCCCACCGCCGTTCTCAAGCTGCGCCGCCTCGCGCGCAAAGTCGCGCGCGGCAGCGTCGACCGCACGGCCTACTCGCCCAAGTACTCGCTCTCTTTTATGTCCCACCATGCAGAGCGCATCTCTCTCTCTGTTGTGCGAGGCGTGAACCGCGCCATTCGCTCTCACCTGGCAACCCTGTCTGCACGTCTCGCGCGCGCGTGAACAGGGCTCCAGGCCCCAAATGACGTGTGAGTGTTAGAGTTGTTTGGTATTGCTAAAAATCTCTCTCTCTCTCAAAAAACTCACACTGACAGGTGCGTCGCAACCTGTAGAGAGGGCTGAGGGGGGGGGGGGGGGCGAGCCATCCGCACTCGCACTCACTCGCACGTCTGGCATGCACTCTAGGGCATGTCACACCCCACCTCCGCTGAATACCCAGCGCTGCCCTGTCTCACCATATGTCCAGCCCGTGGCAGTGTCGACCAGCCCCCCTGCCCGCTGCACCGCGGGGTCGCACGCGCCGACGCACTTCCTGAGCGCCTTCGCCGCGTATGCCGCGCGCAAATCGGCGGGGGAGCGCGCGTGCGCGACAAGGCTGCGGTGCGCAAACCACAAATTGCGTCCGCGCTGGTAGAGCAGCCTGTACTGCCCGGTAGATCCCATCAGCGCGGTGACTTGCGCCTTGTACGCGTGTTCGCGCGTGCCGTAAGGCGAGTCCGCCTCAATGACGAGGATACCAAAGCGGACTCGCTCCCAATCCACCGCACGCAGGACGGCGAGCTCCGCCCCCTCTACGTCCAGGATGCCGAGGGCAAATGTGTGCACCCCCACAGCGTCGAGGATGGCCGCGAGCGGACGGCAGGCCACCGGGTGCACGTACATCGTGGTGCCTGTCCGTCAACAGCGATGGCTGATCACGGGTTGCAGGAGGAGGGAGGGAGGGGGGGGGGGGGTTGGGGACGCCAAGCTTCGTCCAGTTGACGGACGCCCAGTCGCCTCGCGCCTCCTGCAAAGCAGCTGCCAGCGGTGCGTTCTTGCGCACCATCGCCTCCGGCTGCAGCTCCGCGATGCCCCCCATAAGCTCCAGGTTTCGGCCGGTGTGCCGGCGCGCGATTCCTGGTGCCACGCCAGGGACCACGTAGTGCACCTTTTGCGCTCGCTCACAGACTGCAGAGCGGGCGAGCGGGTCCCAGAGTCAGCCCCTTCGTAGCCCGAGAGTGGACGGCAGTGTATCTGACGGCCGTGGCGTGGCGCCTGCTGCCGTGACGCCAATTGCGTCGGGGCTGCGCGCCAGACGAGCAGCCCGCCAGCGCGGGTTGGCTTCGATGAGGAGTCGGCGGTAACTGCACCCCAAAACACCAAGAGATCATCCCGAGATAAGCCGGGATCTGGCCACAGTGAGAGGAGGCGGTGCCCGGCCAACTGCTTGAGCACCAGCGACTCAGAGCTTGCATGGCCGTCGAGCCCGCCCATCTAGCCGATATTATCGACTCGTCAGCCGGGATCTAGCAGAGATCTTGCAGAGGTCTCTAGAGCCGAGATCTACGCGTGACCGCCCCGAGATCTCTGCGACCTTACGCACCTCGAGCACGGTGTCTCCAAACGGACTTTCAGCCGGAGACTGCCTCCAGAGGTAGAGCAATACCGCCTCTACGCCCTCACAGTCCGTCGATGGGTTGCGATGGCAGCGACGGATGATGCGAGCGGCATGCTGAGACACCGTCGTCCAGTTGGTGGAGCCAAAGGCAGGCACCTGTGCGCGAGGATGGTCGATGCAAAGCTCGCAGGAGATCGCGCCCGCAACGAGACTCAATCTCAGAAGGACAGCGAGCAGCGGCCCACGTGAGCACGAACGGCGCGGCGGCGATACCGATGCGACCGGTCTTGAGCGCAAAATGGTAGGAGAGCTGTCCGATGCTGGGCATCGCGCCTGCGTATGCGCGTGGACCGCCGAGCAGTGCGGCATTGGTGGTGGCGGGCGTTGGCGTTGGCGTTGGCGGTGGCGAGGGCAGACGCAAACACAGCGGAATTGAGATTCGGAAAAGAAAAGAAACCCGCCGTGGAGGGGGAGGAGGGGGAGGGATGGATGGAGGAGGGAGGAGGAGGAGGGGAGGGAGGACGGCACGCCGCCACCACACAGGGATTTAAAGGAGAGGAGTGTGGTGCTAGCCGTCGCCCACCCTAACCCGAAGGAGAGCCAGCCGGACTTATAATTCTTTTCGAAGGAGCGAGCGAGCCGGAATTTGAACCAAGTGCATTTGATCGCGAGCGTGTGAGTTTGATCGTCACTAACATCGAGCGAGGAAGATGCTAACCCGGCACTAACCCCGGGAGTATAGGGGGCCCTGTGCGATCCGACGGGTAGGGGGGCTGTGCCCGGGCGGTGTCCGGTGTGGAGTCTCTCTCTGATCCCGCCTGAGATGTTGGGTGTGAGGTTGTGGCGGCTTCGATCCCAAGGGGGGGAGCTGATCCCACTCGTAACCAACTCTCAGGGGCAGTAGGTGGGCGAGCTTCAGGCGCGCCCATCTCGATCGACAAGGCGTCGCTACGCGCGGTCTTCCGCGGGGGGAGCTTCGTCGACGGGTGCGGGAGCGCGGCGCAGTCAGTGCCGTGGCGATGCCTCCGGCTGTTTGCGGCGGGCGGCTTGCTGCTCGCTGCATGGCGAAAAACTCGTCTCGCCACACGCCAAGGGCTTATGCTCTGGCGAGACGTGAGGCGCATGCGCCCAGGAGGGGAGGGGGCATGTACGGCATGAGCTCGGCGCCCCCCTGCCGTGAACGATGGCACCGTGCATTATGGTGCATTATGACGCTCTGATAGCGTATGATAGACCCCCTTTTTTGTACCTCTCTGGCGGACGAGCACCCCTGTAACGGTAACGGTCAACACCCCGGGGGCAGAGACCCTCGTCGCGGCGCACTCGGCTTCGCCTCGTGATGGGAAGCAAACTGCACCGCGAGCTTGAGAGTCTCCACTCAATAGTCCGCACCTAGTCCTTGTTTGTGGCTGAGACTTGGGAGGTATCGAGTGGGAGTTCATGGCTAGGGATCCGTTCCCGGGAGTAAACCAGCCACGAGAGTACCTAGCCTAGGCGTGGAGGCCCGCGGCTCCTCGGAAACTCCGACCTTCGCCCGCGTGCCTTCCTGACGCGAGGACCCTGCTGGCTCCTCCGCTTGTGTGGGCCGCAGCCCTCTGGTTTCTGTTCCACCCACCACCATCCCTCGTACTCCTCCTTTGTTCTCGGGTGGGGCCTCTGGGGCGGTTGCGGGAAGCAAACTGCACCGCGAGCTTGAGAGTCTCGACCCAATAGTGCACCTAGTCCTTGTGGCTGAGACTTGGGATGTATGTATGTAGGAAGGTGAAGAACAGTCAGGCTCGACTTGGGAGGTATCGAGTAGGTAGGTAGGTGGGTAGGTAGGACGGTGAAGAACAGTCAGGCTCGGACTGGACACCAACGCGGTATGGATGGACGCGGGACAGATGATGACGACACGCCGAGCGACACACAGACACAAACAAGCTCACAGGACACACAGCCAGCTGGGCTGCCACACACCCTGAGTGGGCGTACACATCACTCAAGGCAACCTTCCCCCTGCCGCCCCCCCCACCCAGCACACACACACACGGTGCCAAGAGTCAGTCAAACAACAGCAAACAAACACAGACAAACAAGTGACAGGGACTAACGCGAGAGGCTGAAGGACTGCTCCGCCTCTAGCAATCTCGCCGGCCGGCCGCGAGGCACGGGCGAGACCGTGTGTGGGTGGGTGGGGTCTTGTGAGGCGTCTATGGACGCTCTCCTCTTGGGCTACCCGCCAGCGACTAGCCGTGCGACCGCAGCGCGCCCGCCACAAGCTGGACGGGGCGCACGTGTCAGCTAGAAGTTTTATAAGTTGCTGGACGGGGCGCACGTGTCAGCTATGTTATTGTGATGGCTCATAAAACTTCTAGTCCATCCATGACCAGAAGAGCGATCGCAGCCACCTCTTTTGAGCAGAGCTCTAGAGCCGCCATGTCGACCTTGCCACCTGCACCGATCTTGCCACCTGCACCGACTGATGCTCCCACACTGCCATCCTCGGTGCTCGCAAGTTCCTTGCGGCACATGGCCAGCGACGCCGCGCTCGCGCCGCTCACTTCGAGGCTGCGGCACGGCAAGCCGATCCACATCGGTGTGCTCGGCGCCTCAGTCGCAGCCGACGGAGGCTGCCTGGAGCAGAAGTACGCTCGCTGCATGACACCACGCTTCCAGCGAGAGGGCATGTGGGTGCACGCGCTGCGAGTCATCAATCAGTCCTGGCCGCACGCCGAGCACAAGCTCTACAACGGAGCAGTCGACGCGACTCCGGCGCAGCAGTTCCGGCAATGCATGCACGGGCTGCTGCCGCCAAGCCCTCATCTCATCTTTCTCGAGTTTGGCTCGATGGCGCGCCACCTCAACCTTGCCCAGACCGAACTGCTCGTCCGGCAGCTCCTCTCGTTGCCGTCGGCGCCCGCGTTGGTCTTCTTCACGGTCCGCGAGTTCTGCGCGACCGCGCACCTCGCGTGGAAGATGAAGCACACGCCGCACAAAGAGGAGCCCGACCTGCCCGCCGACAAGGGCCCGCACGCGAGGGCGGAGCACGCTTTTGAGTCGCTTTGCGAGCAGTACGACCTCACCTGCCTCTCCTACTACCACGCCTTTGCACCACTATATTTGCAGCGCGCGGCCAACTTCACACGGGCGGACGTCGCCGCCGACTGCCTCCACCCGACGACGGGCCGCTTCGGCGCCGCGTACGCGCGCGCCATTGTGCGGCACTGGATCGGTCGGGCGGCGGCGTCTCGTCTGGCTCCCGGTAGTCACCAGCACCAGCGGCGTGAACTCCCTCCGCCGGCGATGGAGGGGACGCGAGCACTGCTGCAGTCGGGGAAGCTGCACCCCGGCTCGGCGCGCTGCTTTGCCTTCCGGAGCGTCGAGAGCGCGTCGAGCGGGAAGGCGCGCTCGCGCGCAAGAGTGGAGCAGATGCGGTGGCGGTCGGCGCACTGCGGCACGGGCGAGTCGATGGGTCAGTGCGTCCACTCCCACCCGTCGAACCACCCGGGCGAGCGCACGTCGTGCCCGGTGTCGCGGAGCGTGGGCGCCGCCCCCGCCTCCTCTGTGCGGCATGGCTGGTTCGCCTGCGACTACGCGCTCGTCTTCAACCGCACGTCGGGCGAGTACGTGCGAGGCAAGCGCACCGATGGCGTGGTTGCCCTCCGGCCGGGCGCGACGATCGAGTTTGGGGTGGCGGTGGAGGCGTGGCGCCCGCTGCGGCGCAAGAAGCCGCTCGAGACCGGGCGAGGCGCGGCGAATCTGCCGCGCGCGTGCGCGACGCTGCACTACCTCACCTCGTATGAGAGGCAAGGTCGGGCCGCGGTGTCGTGCTTTGGCTCCTGCCGATGCGACCCGTTTGTGCTAGACGCGCACTCGCGGCCGAGCAGGGGGGGGCGGCGGGTGTCAATCACAGCCGAGCGCGGCGTCGAGCTCTCGGTGAGCAACGACTCGAGCCGGCCATCCGACGGTGCCTCCTCCACCTCCATCCAGCGCCGCTCCACCGGTGAAGCGAGCTGCTACATGCGGCTGCGCCTCCTCAACGAGACCTCCTCTGGCGGCCACCACTTCAAGCTGCAAATGCTCACTGTGACGCTCGCAGGCTGCTCCAGGGGGTAGCCCCTCTAGCACACTGAGCCACAACACACAAAGATCATGGGGCTGGCCGTGGGGCTGGGGGCGCGTGTGGTCGGCCCGATTGCTGTGCGGCAGATCCCAGGGTCGGGCCGCGGCTTCGTGGCAGCTCGCGACATCTCGCCCGGCCAAGTCCTGATATGGGAGCAGCCCTTTGTGCCATGGCCGTCGGCCGAACGCGAGCCGCTCTCGCTGCTGCAGTCCGTGCTCCGGCGCAGCGCGGTGGAGCGACGGGTCGCCCTGGCCGCGCTCTCGCGGCTGCACCCGATGGAGCTGCGCAGCGTGTCTGCCTTTGACCGGCCGCGGCTGGAGGAGGAGCACTGCGCGTGCGTCGACGCGCTGCTGCAGGAGCCGGGCGCGGCCGACCTCGGCGGCGAGGGCACGAGTGCGGGACTTCACGGCGGTCGTCGCGTGCGACGACACGCTTTCTTTTTGTAGGCGGGCTCGGCGACGAGGGCAGGCGGGCCGAGCTGCTGCGGCTTTGCCTCGTGTGCCGCTGGAACGCGTTTGCCTCGGGCCTGTTCCTGCACCAGTCCATCTTCAACCACGCGCCCTCGCGACGCGCCAACGCCGACAAGGCCGCGCTGCATGCCGGCAAGCTGGAGTAGACAGAGAGGCGGAACAGAGTGTCTGTCTAGCGACTAGACACGCGGCTTCAGGGCTGAGGTTGACAAAGGCACGGAGGGAGCGACACAGAGACATCTACGACCGTTCACGCTCACACCCCTGGAAAACGAACCCACTCTTGGAGGGTCCCTCACTGTTGTGAAGCCCCCCCCCCCACTGTGAAGGCCCCCCCACACACACACACACTCGGGGCGTAGCATATGATTGGACCCTCTCGTCTTTAGGCGCTTACGCCGCCCAAACGAGCAGTAGGAGCTCGGGCACAACTTTGTCGACTAACAGGTTGAAGAGGTAGACGCCCGAGGGTGGGCGACGGCTAGCACCACACTTCTCCCCTAAAATCCCTGTGTGGTGGCGGCGTGCCGTCCTCCCATCCCTCCCTTGGCATGTCCGTTTTCTTTCTTTCTTTTTTTCGATGCGGTGACTTGAGAGTTGTCTCCCCGTATTAAAGAAAGAAAGAAAACAGCCAACCCAAGGGAGGGAGGGGAGAACGGCACGCCGCCACCACACAGGGATTTTAAGGAGAGGGGTGTGATGCGCTAGCCGTCGCCTACCCTAGGGATTATTGATTTATTTAGCAGTACTTCGAATTCTTTTTCCTTCGCGGCAACGCCGGCAAGGCCTCTTGCGCGCCCGCCCTCGTCAAGCCGAAGACCAACCGGCGTCGGACCGCGGTGAGACCGCGCCGCCCTCCGCGCCCGCCCGCGCCCGCAGCGTGAACACATACGCGCGTCCCTCATCGCACGGAAACATACGCGCCGGCCGCGTTGCAGCCTCACATGCAGCGCAGACCGCATGCTCGCGCCCTGGGCCGCCGACGACCCGGTCGGGCGGGTTGCGCGGCCGCCGCACACCACCAGGCAGGCGCACAACCACCCGCAGCGCGCCGCAGCCCACCGCGCAGCCCTCCCAGCCAGGCCTGCGCCTCAAAGCCTCACAAACAGGGCGCACAGCAGAGTACAGCACACAGCACACACCGGCGGCGCGCGCGCAGCACACGCAGACGCACGCGCGGATCCAACACGCACACGCGCACAGCACGCGCGCGCCGCACGCCAGCGCAGCGCCACACACAGAGCAATTCCCATCAGCAGCAGCAGGCCTGCCACAATCCACACCTCACACATGCGCGCGCACACTCCCCACTGCCGGCGCACGCATTGGGCGTCGCCGAGAGGAACCAACTGGCCTGAAGCTGACTCCTCAAGGCACCAACTAGATGCCTGAGGGAGCGCTTGGCAAGCGCTCCCTCAGGCATCTTGACTCAAGTACAAGTTAGCTCCCTTCAGGCATCAAGCTGGCCCTCCAGACATCAAGCTGGCTCCCTCCAGGCACCAATCCGAACCCCTCCAGGCATCAAGCTGACCCCAGGCATGAGCTCGCTGCATCTCGCGATATCTCGCTGCACCTCGCCAAATCTCGCCTCATACCGTCTAATCTCGCCTCATCTCGCCTCATCTCGCCTCATCTCGCCTCATCTCGCCTCATCTCGCCTCATCTCGCCCCATCTCGCCTCATCTCGCCTCATCCTCCTCACCTAGGCTACTCGACCGCGGTCGCCGAGATCGACCCGAGATCGACCCGAGATCGACCCGAGATCGACCTGAGATCGACCCAACAAGGCCCCTCTGGCGGGGGAGATCGACCCAACAAAGCCCCAAAGCCCCCTCTCTGGGGGACCCCTCCCCCCCCCCCCCGAGTGTCCACCGATGGGGAGCGGGGGGGGGGGGTGCGAAAAACGAACAGGGGAGGCTGGGGAGGGGGGGGTCCACTCTGAAGACAGCCGACCGCGGAGGGGTTTTGTCCCACAGCGCACAGGGTTTTACCCTCCGCGCGAGGATCGGCGCGGCGAGGGGGTAGGTTCGAATTCGCCGCGCAACATTTCACCCCCACAGGACCCCGCCCTCCCCCCCTCATGGTCCCACCACCTAGAACCCCAATCTTAGGCTTCGCACCCCCTCCTTGCGCAGTGTCCCCCACTACCTGTGTCGCGGCCGTTATCGGGGCACGCTATCCTGTGCAGTCAGGGCAAGTGGGGGCGGGGGGCAGTCCCACCGACGTATGTATCTGTGGTGACTGTCTCCAGTCTCGGAGGGGGGCTTGAAGGTAAGAATATTTTATTTTTGTGTATTTGGAGAGAAAAATACCTTAGCTTACCTTACCTACCTTTTAGGCTTACGTCTCACGGCGCAATTTTCGATGACAATACGTCGTCCTCCCTGCAATACCGGACGCCCTTCCCGTCAGCCTCGCGGTCCGCCGCGGTCCGCAGCAGTAGCTGCGCCGCGAGATTAAGCACATGCGGCGCCCCTTGCGCGCACCGCTGGTGAAAGTACGTGAAGTGGTTACCATCCGACATGAGAGGGGCCAGCCGTTCCGCAAGGGTCGTGTAATCGTACCAAGCGACGCCGAACTCATCGAGCCACTTTGTCGACGCGGCGGCAATATGGGGGATATCCACCGGCCGACAGCCCGGAGGCGGAGGGGGCTGCGGCAGCCACCCGCCGCCGGCCGGCTGCCACAGGACGCTTAAATCGATGCCTCGTTGCCGGCCATTCGGCGCGCGAGGATAGAGACGCAGCCCATTCCGGCTCCGGTTCCGGTGGCGGCCGGCGGGCAAGTCCAATACTCGAGCCAGGACGTGCGCCGGCAGCGAAAGCCGCCACGGGCTGCACACCGCGTTCTGGTGGAGCGGGCTGCCGTTCGCCACGAGAAGCAGCTTAGTCGCACGACCATCTGCGTGTCCGCGAGAGAGGCAGCCAGGGAGGGACGCGGGGTCGATTGGCTCGCCGTTGTGGTACGTGCCCTGGTACGCGACAAAAGTGCCTCGCTTCGTCAGCGCCGAGCACGCGAGCTCGTCGTCCACCGCGCGAAGCCGTCCGTCCCAGCGGTGGTCGTCGCGCAGCCACTCGCGGACGAGGGCCATTTCGTGCGTCCGGTTGGAAAACGCGGTCGCGACCTTGCAAGCCGACGCCTCGTCGTGCGGGCAAAAGACAGTCCAGCCCGTTTTGCCGAGAGCGGCTGGCACACACGAGCCGTTATGCGCGTGCCCCAGAGCGGTTGTCACTGCGAACTCGCCGCCTTGGCTGCCGCTGCGCAAGTGGAGCTCTCTCCCGGGGCCAGCGAGCAGCTGGATGAGCGCCCAAGTCACCTCACGAAGCGTCGAGTCACCGACAAAGACGATTCCATCCCACCGCTTGGCCAGGGCCTGCGCCGGCATTTCGGGCTGCGAACTCTCCACGAACCAATCAAAGTGATTGAGCCTTGCGCGAGCCTGGACGTGATGCCTCGTGAACTCGGCACGGGACACGTTGCCCCGTCTTAACTGCGGCAGCGCGGGCAGTCTAGCGAATCGCAGGCAGCTCGCGTCCGTCATTGAAGCGCGCAGGCCAGCGTCTCAGACGCGAAGGCAAATCCGACTTCCTCGTCGATGTTCGCGTTTCTTCTTTCGCGAGGGAGTTGTTGTAAACTTCTTCTTTCTCTCGGAGCATCTGCGGCGAACCCGGGCCACGCGATCGCCTCGGTTGGAGCCGCGCCGACGCGCCGCGCGCGACCGCCAGCCAGATTTCCGGTCGGGATGAGCACGGTGCGTCGAGAAAAGAAAGAAAGAAATGGAGAGGCAACCCAAAGGTGCGTGCGTCAAAAATCTCTCGATCGAGAATGTAGACAGACACTGAAAACCGCACGAGCTGTTTTGCCTCTTTTTGAGCGCTGCTGCTGCACACCCAGCGGCAGGAGAACCCAAGAGCAAGACATTGTGAGCCCGCACTCGCGGTATGGGCTTCCGCTCGTGCATTGTTCCCGAGAGCGACGAGGGCGAGAGCTCTGGTGACGAGTGCGGCTCGGCGGCCGCGGAGGCGGCGTCCGACAGTGAGTCGGAGTCTTCCCTCCTCGAGCAGGCCATACGGGCGGCGGGTGATGTGTGCGGGCCGTCGACATCGGCCGTCGAGACGGGCAACTCTCTCGAGGCGGGCAACTCTTCCGACGAGGACGCCTCTCACTGCGAGACGCTCGGGGCCGACGACTCCTCCGATGCGTCCTACACCGACGGCGACTCCTCCAGCATCGACTCCGATGTCGGCGGCGCCTCCGACGAGGACAGCGACGCGTCTTGGTTGCCCTCCGACTAGGCGTCGGCGCTATACAGAGAGGAGAGAGGGTATCATAGTATATGCGTGCTTCTGTGTGTGTGGCGACGCGTTGTCTGTCGCTGTCTTGCTTATTACACCTCATAGACATGTGGTGCACCTGGCACTAAGGCACCTCCCCGCGAAAAAGACACATCTAAACCCGGCTGACGGCGGCCTTACAATTTTCCTAGCAAGCCTCTACTGCTTCGTTGTCCGTCGTCTGCTGCTGTACAATTCTGGCCTCTTCTCCGTCGCAAGGGCCCCGCCCCCCTCGAGGGGGGGGCGGGGCCCGCGCAGGGGCCCTCTATGTATGTAAAATTCTTTCACTGCTCTCACCCGCCCGACGACAAAACGGTACCTTCACCTCGCCGAGCTGTCTCCCTGCTCCGCATGCCTCCCGCTCGCGCTGCTCTCGGCGACATCTCCAACGGCGACGCCGCCGACGCCGCCTCCAGCAACGCCGGTGCCAACGTGCGCGTCACACGGTCCGCCGCGGCGCGCCAACGGCTCCAGCAGCAGCAGCAGCAGCAGCAGCAGCAGCAGCAGCAGCAGCAGGCGGGCCGCCGCGGCCCGCAGCGGGCTGGCGCAGTCGTTCCGCCGGCCCCAGCGCTTCAGCCAGCGCCGCAAGCCCCGCACGCTCAGCCTCCTCCTCTCCCGTCTCACCAGCAGCCTCGGCAGTTGGCGTCGCACCTGCCGCCGGTGCAGCCGCCGCCGCCGCCCCAGCAGCCGGCGAAGCGCGCGCCGCCCGCGACGCGCTCGCTGCAGAAGCAGCCTCCGTCCACGAGACGGCGCCCTTCCGCTGCCGAGGACGAGTCCGTCGCCATGGCGGTGGAGGCCGTCGCGGCGCCCGTTCCGATGGACGAGGACGACGCCTCTGTCGGCGACCCGCAGCGGTGTTCGCAGTACGCTCGGAGCATCTACGCGTACCTGAAGGAGCGGGAGGCGAAGTACCTCCTCCCCGCCGACTACATGCAGTCGCAGCGCGACATCAACTCCAACATGCGCAGCATCCTCGTCGATTGGCTCGTCGAGGCGAGGGAGGCTCACCGACAATACACTCTCCCGCCACCGCCACCTCCGCCGCCCTCCTCTCAGCCCCCGCCGCAGCCCTCCTCCTACACCCCCAGCCCGGAGCCCCACAGCCTGCCCTCCACTGCCACCCAGCCCCGCCATCCGCCGCCCCATCGCCCCATCTCTCCTCTCACCTCGCCCTTCCTCTCCCCTCTCCGGCCACACACGCAAAAGCAGACACCCTCACCTCCCCCCCCCCCCCCCTCCCCCTCACCCGCCGCCCTCGCCCTCGCCTAGGTTGCCGAGGAGTACAAGGTCGTGCCCGAGACTCTCCACCTCTGCGTCAGCTACATCGACCGCTTCCTCTCCCGCGTGCCCGTCGCGCGCTCAAAGCTTCAGCTCGTCGGCGCCTCATGCTTGCTCCTCCTCATCAAACATCATCGTCGCCGTCGTCGTCATCGTCACCATCATCGTCATAGGCGTCTCGTGCATGCTCATCGCCGCAAAGTTCGAGGAAATCCATCCGCCGGGGGTGGATCAGTTTGTGCACCTCTCCGCCAGATCTCCGCCAGATCTCCCCACATCTCCCCATATCTCCGCGCCAGGTGGATGAGTTCGTGTACATCTCCGACTCCACCTACACGCGCGCCGAGATCCTCGCCATGGCCTCCACCGCCCTCACCCGCCCCCGACACCTCCCCGACACCTCCACGACACTTCCACGACACTTCCTAGGAGTCCACCGTCCTCAACCGCCTCCAGTTCGACCTCTCCGCCGCCACGCCAAAGGCCTTCTTGCAGCGGTGCGTGCGCGCGGCGCGGCCGGCGAGACAGGTCTTCTCTGCCCCCGGAGTTCTCTTCTCTCTGCCCCTCTCTCTAGGTACGTGCGAGCGGCGCAGGCGGCGTGCGGCGTCGACGAGACGGCGGCCTCGCTCTGCTCGTACCTGTGCGAGCTCACGCTGCCGGAGTACGCCCTCCTCGCCTTCCGCCCGTCCGAGGCCCGCCGCACACACACGCACACATGCACACACATGCACACATGCACACGCACGCGCACACGCACACACACACGCACACACGCACACACACACACACGCGCGCGCGCACACGCGCACACACACACACGCACGCACTGGGCCTTGCCTTTCGGTGCCGTGCGGCTCTTCTCTTCAGACGTGCAGTCGCGAGGGACTAGCCCGGCCCTTGCCCCCCCACCTCGTGTGTGTGGAGAAGCCCACCGTTGCCTCACCCTAGGTCGCCGCGGCGGCTGTCCGGCTCGCGCTGCACACGCTCCGCCTCCCTCCTTGGTGAGAGGAGCCGAGATGCCGAGAGGAGGATCACACCCTTGGCGAGATGAGCCGAGATGAGCATTGCACACCCTCCGCCTCCAGCCTTGGTGAGAGTGCTGCGGCACAGCCGGCAGCGCGCCCCCCCGATCATGTTTACTTGCTGTGTGATTCAGGCACGCCTCCCTCGAGCACGAGACGGGGTACACCGCCGACGCGCTCGCCCCGTGCGCCGCGCCAGCTGCCGCGTGTCCCGCCCCCTCTCAAGGGGCGCGTGGTGAGCCGAGGCTGCGCGAGGTTAGGTGCGTCGCCGAGCTGCTCCGCGTCCACCGCGCCGCCGCTTCGAACAAGCTGCAGGCCGAGACAGACAGACAGAGACCGAGAGGCACAGACACGGGCACAGGCAGCGGCAGCGACAGCGACAGGCAGCAACGACAACGGGGAGAGAGGGAGGGGGGGAGGGAGGGGGGGGAGATGAGGGGGGCGGGGAGGGAGAGAGGGAGGGAGAGAGGGGTGGGTGGGGGGGGAGATCTCTCACGGTTGCCGTCTCACGCCGCAGGCGGTGCGTGAAAAGTACTCCGCGCCGAGGCGCCTTTCTGCCTAGACACTTCCTAGACACTCCCTAGACACTCCCTAGACACTCCCTAGACACTCCCTAGACACTCCCTAGACACTCCCTAGACACTCCCTGACCTCGGCTGCTCCCCCACAGGCACCGATCCGTCTCGCTGCTGCGGCCGGCGGAGAGCCCACCCTGACCCCAGGCCCCCAGACGGCGAGATCGCGGCGAGATCGCGGCGAGATCGCGGCGACGCGTGGCGCGCGGGCTTGCGCCGGCGAGGCCTCGGCCGAATTCGGTGTCGCGTCTCGAAGGGGGGGGGGGGGGGGTCCCCAACTCAG